TAAACACTGAGAAGTCCTCATTGGGGATTTTCTCCATTTTTCTTTTCTCATTCCTGGACGCCTCATCACTCAGCAAAAGTGTGGTCTCACTCTGCTTTCTTCTGCGCAGATCTCACTTCTCTTCAGATCTTAGAAGGTGCCTTTGTCTTGGACAAATCTGTACCATCCTGTTCTTGTCTCCTTGGAGAGGACTAAGTTCTTTCTTTTTCCTTCTCTTTCTCAGGTGTCTCTTCTCAGACCACAAATGCACTCTGCCCACAATAGAAGAACAATAAATAAACAAACTGATTTCTTTTTTCTTTTTTGCAGTACTGGGGATTGAACCTAGGAGCATCCAACTTCTGAGCTACATCCCCAGCCTTTTCTTTTAAATTTTTATTTTATAGTTTTAAAGATTAAACACACGGGTGCTTTACTACTGAGCTACATTCCTACTCCTTTTTAAAATCTCTCCTCCCTTTATCACTTTGTTTTAAATTTTTTGAGACAGGGTGTCACCAAGTTGTTGAGGCTGGCCTTGAACTTGCAATTCTTCTGCCTCAGCCTCCCTAGTCGTTGGGATTACAAGTGTGTGTTACTACACCCAACTAACTTCCTTGCTTTCTGCATGGATTACTGATCTCTTTTTATAAACTTCTTAAAAGAGTAGTTTATTTGAAAGACTAGTAACCTTCCTTGTTCAAGGTGTCCCTTAAGAACTCATGTGTGAGACAATGCAAGAAGGTTCAGGGGAGAAATGATTGGGCTGTAAAAGTCTTAATCCAATCAGTGAATTAATTCCCTGATAGGGATTAACTGAGTGGTAACTGAAGTGGTAGGGTGTGGCTGGAGGAGGTAGAAGTTGGGGGCATGGCTTTGGAGCATATATTTTATATCTGGAGAGTAGAAACTCACTCTTTCTGCTTTCTGATCTTCATGTGAGCAGCTTCCCTGTGCCACACTCTTCTGCCATGATGTTCTGCCTCACCTCAAGCCTGGTGGAATGGAGCCAGCCTCTTATGGACGAAGACCTCTGAAACTGTTAGCCCTCAAATAAACTTTTCCTCCTCTACAATAGTTCTGGTTGGATCCTTTAGTCACAGCAGCAAAAAAGCTGACTAAAACTGTATACCAGCTTCCTTACCTGTAAGATGAGGATTATACTAGTACATAACTCATTAGATTAGGGAAGATTAAATTTATTAATATATGCAAAAGGTTCACTATAATAATTAATATACATACATATGGTAGTCATTATTATTATAACTGTTCATAATATCCAACAACTTAAGGCTCCATAACCACCCTGAAATTCTGTAACATTCAACTCCAACTTCTCCCTTTTTTGTTTTTAATAGTATTTATTGAAATATAACACACCTACTTAGAAAAGTGCCCAATTTGTAATGGTCCAGCTCCATGAGTTTTCCCAAATCCATGCATCTTTATTACCAGTGCTCAGATCAAGAAATAAAAATTTCATGAGTATTCCCCAACTCTCACCCCATAAGCCCCTTAGTCCTGTCCCTTTGGTAAAAATTTATTTTTAACATGTATAGTTTTTATATAATACCTTAAAATGGATGAAGATAACAATTGCATTGTAAATTGCCTATTTGCTTGCCTACCTTGTTTTACAAGTTACTTTGTACTTTCACTTTTCTAATAAGTCTTTAAAATATGAAACTATTTTTTAGGAAAACATTGAAAATTTTAATTTTTTTTGGTTCTGGGGATTGAGCCCATGGATGTTTAATCACTGAGCCACATCACATCCCCAGCCCTTTTTTAAATTTTTTAAAAAAATTTTAAGCCAGGATCTCAGTAAATTGCTTAGGGCTTCACTAAATTGTTGAGGCTGGCTTTGAATTTGTGATCCTCTTACTCAGCCTCCTGAGCCATGAAAAAAATTAATTTTTGTATTATTAGTTTTATTAATTTTTAGGTTCTTTTTTGAACCAGGGACTGAACCCCAGGCTGCTTAACCACTGAGCCACATCCCTAGCCATTTTTATTTTTTATTTTGAGTTAGGGTCTTGCTAAAGTGCTTATGACCTCACTATATAAATGAGGCTGGCTTTGAACTTGCAATCCTCCTGTCTCAGCTTCCCAAATCGCTGGGACTACAGGCCTGTGCCACCAGGCCTGGCTAATTTTCAGTTTCAAGGGTGATTTTAACATTTTATCATGTTTGCTATTGTGTATAAAGTTAGCATACTACATCCCTGAAATGTCAAAAATTCTAATGTTTAAAGAAAGCCTATTTGAGGAAATCTTTATTTATTGAACAAATCAAAGATTATTGTTTTTCTCTTGAGAAAAAGGAAGTGTTTGCTATTTTAAATGTTTTTTTTTCTTAGTGAAAGAAAAGTATTTCATTTTCAGGAAAATGCTATAAAATCTTTTAATGAGTCTCTTATGGTATCTATGATGCTTTACACTGTTTTTTGTTTTCATTAAAATACAGAGTAAAAGAAAATGTACTATATGTTCCTTGCTGATAATCTGGAGAAATTAAATTCACCTACTATTCCACTAGAGGCAAAGCTTCTTTGAATATCTGGTGTCTATTCTTATGAAGCTTATTCCATTTAAATGAAGCTGTAAGAGTTCCTTTCTATCTTCAAAGATCAAGAAGGGGAATATACGGCTGGGGTTGTAACTCAGTGGTACAGTGCTTGCCTAGCACATGTGAGGCACTGGGTTTGATCCTCAGAACCACATAAAAACAAATAAACAAAATAAAGGCAAGTATCCATCTACAACTAAAAAACAAACAAACAAAAAATTTAAAGGGGGAATACAATAGTCTCCCCTTATCCATAATATCACTTTCTATGATTTCAGTTGCCCCTGGTCAACAAACACATGCAAATATTAAATGGAAAATTCCAGAAATAATTCACAAGTTCTAAATAACTTATTATATTATTATAATTGTTCTAATTCATTATTTGTTATTGTTAATATTTTAGGGTGCCTAATTTATAAATTAAATTTTGTCATAGATGTACATATATTGGAAAACATTATATAGGGTTTAGGCATCCGCTGAGGGATCTTGAAATATATTCCTCATGGATACTATATACCAAAGCTAGAAATCTGACCCGGCCCAAAGTAAAAAACAGAAACAGAACAACAACAACAACAAAAACAAAACAAAACAAGAAGTTACTGAATTTCAAAGCTTCTGCTATAATTTCTTTGTGTCAACAGGGTTTAATGTTTCTGTTTTTAAACAAAGCATTGTGGTAGAATTCAGTTCTCCATACTAATAGAAAGTTAGAAACAGAAACCACTTTGCAAAATAATGTAAAACTCAAAATCAATCATGGTCTGATTTCAGGAAAAAATGTTATCACTTTTAAAATGTGGATTTAGACTTGATTATCTGAGAACTGATACTTTCCTTGAAAGGGGTGGGATGTGTATATAACAAATACAGAATTCTAGCCAAATAGTTTTTTTACTGGAGAATTACAGGAAGAAGGATACAGAGCATTTTATACTCACAGATAGTGCCAGAGCCCTCCCTGCAATGGCCTACTGAAGTTCCTGTCTTAAAATCTATCCAGTGGATATTTCTGAATTTGGTGAAGGGTACTGTTGAGCATTGCTGAGTGACTGTCAACATACATTTGACTTGTTACAGACTTTATTAATTTTAATTATATATATTTAAATTTTAAACTACATTTATATTTTGAATAGGCAGTGCATTCACGCCCTGTCCCCTAGACACTGAGTTCATTTCCTATTAGTTTCTTGTGTATTTCTCCTAAGATAGTCTGTTCACTTTCTTTTATAACACACACACTTTTTTGTTTAGATCAGAGGTATTTTTAAAAAATTTAGTATTTAAAGTTGCATACAGGTATACTCTCTTTGATGGATAATTTGGTGGATTTTTTTTTCCAGTGCTGGGCTTTAACCCAGAGCCCTGAGCATGCTAGGCAAGTGCACTACCACTGAGCTACAGCTCCAGACCAATTTAAGGGAATTTCAATGGTCTATCTCAGAGAACCAGTTCCTTAATTACTCCATTCAGAAAGCAGGGAATCTCCTCTGATTCTGTCTTCACCCCTTACTCTCCAACATAAGTGCTAATTCCACTCCCAGTGTCCATCACCTTGTTCTTCTCTTTCCCTGCTGCTACTACTATCCTAGTCCAGATCAGCATCAACTGTCATGGATTAACAGAGAACCTCTCAATCTATCTTCTTGCCTCTAGCCTCTCCTTGCAATCCATTCTTTTCACCAAATGCCATTAGATTCATCATTCCAAAAGAATAGCTGTGATATCTCATTCATTTTGGCAAATTAATGGATCCTATTGTCTGCAGAGTAACATTCTACTTCCTCAGCACAGAGATTTGTTTTCCTCAAAAGGTGAGAAGCCAGGTGTGGTGGCACATACCTGTAGTCCCAGTGACTTGGGAGGTCAAAGCAGGAGGACTGCAAGTTCAAGGCCAGCCTCAGCAACTTAGCAAGGTCCTGTGCAATTTAGAGAGAGACTATTTCAAAATAAAAAATACAAAGGGCTGGAGATCTAGCTCAGTGATAAAGTGACTCTGGGTTAAATTCTCAGTACCAAAAAAGAAAAAAGTAAGCAAGCTGCAGAAATAACAATATATTTTATCTCAGGTATGAGGTGGTCACTGATACAGGGCCCTATGTGAAAGGAAGGTCATGCAGTTTTATACACAGGCTGGCCTTAGAATCAGAAATTGGATACTCCTATACTCACAGTGATGATTGCATTCTTGGGAATGGACAAGTACTAACTCAATGACCTCAGACTGACACAGGCCCTAGAATTCTCACTTAATAATCTTTAGAGAGGCCACCTCCAGTGTGGGGCAGGGTGTTCAAATACTGAGTATTCCTTCTTGTTTTCAAGGCAGCTAAGAACCCTAGATGAAGGGGCTTTGGGAACACAGAATCAGAACATGGGAAAATATGTTGCTACCCATTTATTTCCCCCCCTTTTTCTTTTTTCTTTTACTTTAAAATAATGGCATTATGACAGTTTATTTTGAAGGTCATTTTTCAATCAAACTTAAAGACAATCTGAGAAAAGATTGCACAGAATACACTCATTAAATAAGTATGGTGATTAAATCAAAATAAGGGAAATATGTTCCTTTCCATAACTCTAGAAATAAATTCTGTTGTCCTGAAGATTCTTATACTTCCAAAAAGGGGAAAAATCATGGCAATTAAAGCTATCTCTTAATCATGTAAAATCTACAGTAGCAACCATATTTTTCTGTTCTTCCCAATAAGTCAGTTTTGATCTTCAAATTGTGCCTTGTTTTTTAAAAGATAAGATGCTAGAAATTCAGTGGGATTTGGTGGTCTTTCCTTTGCAAGCACAGCAAGTCCCTGTAATAAGATAGGCACCACCATCTGATCCAGGTAGGCATGAGTTGGCAAAGACTGTAAATCCACCTTCTGTTTTGATGACTTTTCTGCATTTATCTTCTCATTTTCTACTATCCTCTCAACATTGTCGATCAGATCATACTCAGAGTGAGGGTTTTCTGCAACCTGCGACTGTCCTTCCAGCATCTGCTTTGGCTCCATGGTGGACCCTGCAAACCACAGTCCCAGGATACCAGCCCACACCTAAGCTGTTGGTTCCTCTCCCCCCTTTTTTTTCAAACAAAATTCTGATTAAGATTCTCTCATCTCAACATCAATTTCAGAAGGTTATAATAACTTCATCCTGCTGATTTGATTTGGTGACTTCCCATGATGACTGCAACAGAGCCTTCCTCAGTAATTGAAGCCTGTCCCCAACAGCTTCAGCAAGCTGGCCCCCAGATTCAAAAAGGCAACAAAATACATGCACTCATCTAATTCTGGTTCTGCTCTGATTGGACTGTCCCAGGCCTCAGGATCATCTTGAACCAATCACCATGACCAGGGAGAAGCTATGAACTGATTTGCAGGCCTGAAGGGGGAGGGTTTTGGAAGTAAAGTCCTTTTGCCCCCAAATGGTGACAAAGGAAGGTAACCAAGAGGAAATGGAGGGCTTTTGTGGAAGTGAAGGGAAATAGATGCAAACTGTCACTTCTGTGCATTTGTCTACTGGGGTCCCTTCTGCCTCGAATACCCTTCCCTTCAGTGCTGCCTACATACATCTAAACTGACCTTTCAAGGCTCCCCATTCCCTCTTATGCCTCCATGCTCCCTCCAGCCCCAAGCTAGCCCAGGGAATTCCCACTTAATTTCCTCATCTTCTTGCTGGACCACAGCTTACTGGTGGGCCTTGGGTTGGTGTCATTTGGATTTATGTTGGTCTCACCTCCAAAGCTAGGTCTCTTTGGAAAGCACCATCATGGTCTTAACTATTTGAAGGCTCCTTGCTCCACTTCTGTGGGCCCCTGCCTAGCAAACTGAACCTGTTATTGGACATGCTTGATATATTTTGTTGAAATGAATAGGATACTTAAGAGAATAAGCCATTTTCAAGCCCCCTTAAATATTTCAGAAGCACTATTTACACACTTGAGAAGAAGTTCTCTTCATTCTAGGCTGTTCATTAGAATAGGTCCCCTGAGCGGCTCTCCAGGACAAGCTGAAGTAGCAGTTTTGCACTAGGAAAAAGGACTAGAATCCACATAGTAGTTGTGGTATCTCCACTTCAGATGGCTTCTTCATCTCCATAAAACTAATGTGTTCTCAATCTCAAGACTGATCAGGGCCTAGGGGAGGGATTAACATTTATGTACTTCTAAAAAGAGGGACTCAACAGGATCAAAGGGGCCTAGAATACCTTTAAAAATGTTCCATCAACTCCCAGCCCACCCTTCTCCATGCCCCATGTTTGCCTGTTTACTCTCTAGCAACCCTTAAGGAAAAGAAACCTTTTTTGTTTTCTAATTTTTCATATTACCTGAGAAGCTTCTAAATTCCCATCAGATGTCTGAATGTCCTGAAAACATATTTGTGAGGTGGTGGTTGTCTAACCTGGACTTACATGCCTCCAATTACAGAGTGCTCACCTCCTTATGAAATGGTCCTTTATACCTTTGAATATCTCTGATTATCAGCACATTCTTTCTTATGCTGTTAGAGTCTGTAAACAAGTCAGGATGGCGCCTGGCATTTTGCCAGAGAAATGTTAGAGTCTGTAAACAAGTCTGGATGGCGCCTGGCAAAATGCCAGAGGGAGTGGTTTGTGAAGTAATGCTAGCAAGCCATTAAGTGTGGAGATTTCTTATTGGTTGACTGCTGTGTCTAGTTTATGTTAATTAAGATAAGCTGTGTGGAATGTATAAATACCTCTCCTGTCCTACAATAAACAGCTTCCACTCCTGCTGTATCAACGTACACAAGTTGTTCGTCACCCCCCGGTTATTTTGCTGCAGCTAGACTGCGGCATTATGCCAAACCAACATCGCATTGCTATTGTTTCCACCTTGTGCTATTGTGGCATCAGAAATAACATTTAGACAGGTCTTAAGTGTGTGTGAGTGTGAGTATGTGTGTGTGCATAAATGAGAGACAGAGAGCCTATAAAGATCAATTTATACCAGCGGTTAACAATTTTTTTAGAACTATTTCAAGCATGATAAACATATTTCAGGGATATATTTTTCTCATTTATAGTGAAGATGAGACTTGATGAGACTTGATGGTAAGGGTGTATTTGATAATTTCTGTAGGATAAGACCCACTGAAAAGGAAAGGAATCAAAAAGAGAAAGGAATATATTTTCTATTGATGAACCCAACCTAATTCTATCCTAAGATTGGGAGCCATCTCGTCATAAAGTTATAAAAAGTTCATTTCTGTTTTACTAAGATATCTAAGATATCTATTTGGCCTGACCATACTCTGAGGGCTAATTTTATTTGGAATTCCTGCCCATGCTCTAAACTCACCCGTGCCTGGCTTTCCTTGACCAGATAACAACCCTCCCTAAAACCTTAGTTAGCCCCTCATAAATTCTGATGTTGGAATCTCAATTTACTCCCTACCTTGAAATGTTAAGCCATGTAGATCATTAACCTGCTATCTGCCTTTGTATTATGCTTGCCAGAATCCTGTTAGTTGAAAGTTCCCAAGACACTCCCCTTTGTAACCTTTTGTGCTATAAAACCTTTTTCCTGGAGAGCTGGGATGCTGTTCTCTAGCCTGGCTTTGGGTGAGCCAGATTAGCTCTCTTGTGTACACAATATAAGCTTGCTTTAATTTAAAATTGGAGTCAGTGGTCTTGTCTTTGTGTTGCAGGTTCAACATTTGGGGCCCTTATGATATTCAGACCACCAAAATTCTGAAGCCAGACCTTTGCTCTGGGACTCCAAGCGGAGTGCTGCCCCAGGGGGTTCTCACCTTGAGACATTCCAAGGCCCCTAGGTATGCCTTTAGTTCATGGGATTGCTTGGGTGAACTGCCACACTAAAACAACTAGCAAGCATCCAGTGGAGGAGGCTTCCATAGGTAAATGGAGCCCCCACAACATCTAGTATTGGGTTTAAGAGAGATCTCTTCTGGGGACAGTGAGGTGTCTGGTGAAACACATGACAACTGTCTGGGTCAGTAGCAAAATGTCGCACTGTCCTGTGGTAAAGGTTTCATGAGGCATTTCTTTTGGGGACAGTGAGGTATCTGACAAGGCAAATACACACTCTTGTCTGGAGCATTAGCAAGATGTTGCACTGCTCCCTGGGTTTTGGCACCTGATTTTATATATATATATATATATTTGCCTTTTTGTTGTGTCTCTTCTCTGGTATAAACTTAAGATAACTGAACAACAACAAATGGGTAATAAGGCAAGTAATCCTGATGCTCCTTTGACTTGTGTTTTAAGGAACTTTGACAAACTTTACCCCCCTTCATTAAGCAGGATTTTGAACTTTCTGTGAGATAGAATTGTAACGGTGATCTCTTCACCTTCTAAATGTATCCCTCATTGCTCTAAGATTTATTTTTTTTAAAAGTGTTTTTTTTTCTCTCTTCTCCCCTCTCCCCCTCCCTAGCAGGATTTGGGAGACAGTGTTATCTTTTCTTCCCCTAATTGGCTGCTCTTGAGCACACCCACTGCAGGAGGGAGATGCCTGCTGGGGATCTGGGAAATGAACATCTCCCAAATTAACAAGTGAATCCTAATATGCCATCAGGGTGCCCTGGGAACCCCTACTGGAATGTAACTCTTGAAAAATTCATTTAAAATCCCTTGTCCCTCCTGATTGAGAGAGTCACAGACTTTGGGACTGGGGTCCCCTATTTTACTCCTTTGCTAGCAAAGCAATAAACCTTCTTTTTCCTTTTTCTCAAAACCATGTCCTCATTATTAAATTGGCATTAATTAGCTTTGAGGACAGGGACTGAACTTTTGGCTGCACATTTTGGCAACCCAGTTGGGACCCTGGAGCAGCCCCACTCCACTTTCTTGGGCAGGCCTGGCACTCTAAGCAAACTTTTTGAGAGATGACTACTGGAAAGTTAGTAGACAGGTAAGTGTGCCTGGGGTTGAACCAAACCAGAGGAGCTATTCTTGTAAGTAAAGGGAGGGACTGAGGGACTCCTAGCAGCTGCACAAAGCCCTTTTTGCTTTGGGGAACTCCTGCTTTCCTTCTCTGCACTGTAAGGATTGTTCCATCTTTGTCTACTTTGAGAAAAAAGAAACTGAATTCAGTAAAGTCGCCACACCAAGACCCTTGATTTTACACTTCTGGTTCCCCTTTGTGGGAGCATCTGTTTCCCTTGTGGGGACATCTGTAGCACCACTGGTGTAAGAGCTATGGTTAAGTGGGAGTTGGGAACTTGGGGAGATTTTTCCCTTAGCTGGTCTATTTTAAAGGTTCCTGTCTGTCAGCCATAGTTTGGAGATCCTCTGTGTCTGTCACTGCATTTTTTTTTTGTTTGTATCTGTTTATGGCCCTTTAAGACATGGGCGATAGTGTGTTGACCTTATAAATTGTTTCTTGGGAATGATTTTGGCTGAATGGGCCACTTAGAGATGTAAATGTGTCTAAAAAGATGATGCTTTACTGTAACAATCCGGTCTTTGAATGGTTTTCTGAACTATTATACAATCTTACAGTTGAAAGTTGGTTTGTCAGAGGTAAAATAATTAATAAGGAGTCTTAATGGCCAAAAACTAAGTTGGATACAAAAAGTGCTGCCTCTAATCTAATGTGAGAACATAGCAGGACTCTCAGGAGGATTCCCTTCTCCCCCTGCATTGATTCCCTCCTGGATACTTCCCTTCCTTTGCTGATCAGAAACACTAGCAATTCCTATTGCAGAACTAAAAGAAAGACATGGGATAATTAGTAAGAAAACATCCAGGTTCCCTTTGTTCGCACAGTTAGCCTTCATAAGCCAGTTTAAAACTCCCATTACTGTTTCTGTGCTCAGATGTACTCAATCTATTTTTATATTGAGATATTTCAGAACTTTTGCCAGATGTTTGACCTTACCTTGAAAGATGTTATGCTATTACTTAGCCCAACTTTAGCCTCAAATGCACCAGGTATGCTGTTCCTGCTTCTCCTTAGGGAGCCAAGAGGTCAATTTTCTCTTGAATGTAAGTGCCAGCTTTTCTGTTCTCACCTCTTACCTTAGACCTCCTAGAAATATCTGAAAAGCCTGTTACCAAAAGGT